GAGGGGGAGCCTCATTCTTGCGGATTGCATACGTTGTCGTCATCAGCGATGGATCTCGTTGATAGTTACAAAGTTTGAAGCCACATTCTCGGAACAATTTCAGTAGCTCGTCATGGGTGAAATAGGTACCAAATCGGCGACCCGTAGTCACAGATAGTTCGAAGCCGAACATCCCTGAAATGCACGATTTTAATTGGACCATTCCACCCAAGGAAGTCTCATTTCTCAGAAATTTAATTTAACTTTTCAGAAATCCAACTAACCCTGAATAGCAGCGGCCAGTTCATAGTCCGAGGTGACTTCGACGACAATGGCGAAACCATCATCACGAATCAAATGTTTACAGGCATTCAAGTAAGCAACTGGATCGGCTTTCCTGGAAAAAGTTGATGTGCCAGAAACCGATGGCTCAGAGTAAACAAATGGAAAACGATTGGATGGTAAACAAGTAAACAACTAAGGACGAGAACCAACCTGCTTAGCACTTTGTCCAAAAGCATGTAGTCCATGTTCTTCACATCATTATGGCCCGTAAAGGATTCATCAATGTTGAGGCGTACTTTTCGGGCACCAATCTGCTCCAAAGAATTGTCATCCAGCTGATCGACATTTGGTCCGACACAGATACATTCCAGCTGAAAATCAATCAGGTTATTCGGACCTAATAACCATTTTAGATCATACAGAAATCACCACAAACCTCTAGAAGTGGATGCGACAAAAGTGCATCAACACACTGTTTCAGCTGTTCGAACGAGTTCAATTCAACGGCACACATCATTGCATGGTGACCGGCCGAGTTCTCGATACAAATGTCCTGCATCGTCTTGATGATTCGATCCAACGACAGGGCAGCACTCCAGACACGATCAAAGTCGAATACGGTCTTCACATTTTTCAACTTGGACACCACCAGTGCTTCGAAATCCGTGGCTGTCATGTCGTTGGAGAACTCCAGGGCAAAGATCTCATCAAATGCATGAAGTACGGAGCATTTGCTGTCATCGAGGAACACGCGCATCTCCTGCTCCGTCACATTCTCCTTGACCAGTGGAGCAAACGCTTTCAGAACGGACTTCAGAATTTGGCCGTTGGTCATTCTCGGCAGAATACCCTGTTTCTCCCATGAATCCAAACCACGAGCGACAACTGAAACCAAAAGGATGGACTGTTCTAACAAAAAGGTCTCACATGGAAAAGAATGTCATGGTACATACCGTATTTCAGTGCTCGAGTGTACTGCTCCAGAATGTTCCGTTCCTTCTCAAAGTCTTTCATACAGTTGTCATCATAATGAGGTACGAAGAAGATACGTTCGTGGTAAAGCTTTAACGAGAAAGATCGATAACGTATTGATCGAATGAACTTACTCTACTGCGTACACAACAAGTATATTACCTGTCCAGACGTCTGAATACGTCGAGCAACCGTGTGAGCCGTCAAGTCACAGCACTCGACACCACCTGCGATGCATCCATGGGTACAGTGATCATTTCGTAGTTCGAATACCTACAAGTATCACAATAGTAAGAGAGGTACAACAACCTATGGAGTGTGCTTACTTACTGGTAACATACCTGGATTCCATCCTTTTCAATCAGATGCTCAAGATGTTTCACAGGATCGATGCGAAGATGTCGTACACGTGTCGGAAGACGGAGGGTATCAGCACGTTCAGCCAGAAGAGCCGTCTGCAGCAAGGAGTCGAGGAACGTCACCCAGTTGCCGGTCCAGTACAAATATCCACGCTCACCAGAGTTGCAGGTCTTGTAAATGCCACGGAACGCCTGTCCATATTCATAGCCTGAATCGATTTGGCGCTTAGGGACTCATAACCGTGCGCGTATTGATTAGCAGCACGCGCAAACCACGTGACGAGCGCGCGAAAATGTGGCAAATCAATACGGGGATTTTAAACACAAACCTCTCAGAAGGAATTCCTTATAGGCATCTTCGGTGTCCAACTCAATACGGTCAGCAATTTCCGATGTACGAATATCACTGAGTTTACCATAGTAGAATGGTTGATTCTCTTCAGGAATATAGATTCTTCCCGAGGCTGCTACTTGCTCTTCAGAAATGATCTCGAACTGTCCATTACCAGGTGTGACAACACAATCGAGTTTGACTGAAACAGCGGGTAATCGATATAACTAGTAAATATCATCTAGGTAACCACCACGCAAGAAACAGAACCAACTTGGTTTGGTCAAAATAATGGCTGAGTAGACGTTGATGTTCTCGAATACAACTGCCGTCTTCTGGAAGTCGACTCCATTCAGCTTGGCAAGAGTTTTCCATGCAAGTACCAAGTAACCAGTAAACGGATACAGTACACGACCATCGATGCAGTGATCAAGAAGGTAGGATTCCTGAGATTGTAACTAGTTAGTATTGATTGAAATCGGGAGTAAACGATAAGATAAGGGATACCTTCGAATCAGCTGCGAACGGATCAATGTGGTATGATGCTGATGCACAAATGGAACCACCACCAGCGGCAGCCATGTGGCGACCGTCGATTACGGGCCAGTCCTGGGAATGGTCCCACTTCCACATTGGGCCAATCATTGGGGTTCCTTTTGGAACAAGTCCCTTGTATCGTCCACCTGGATAGAGATCCTCAACACGAATGTTCACTCCGGCTTGATAGATTTTTCCAAGGGACTGAAATGGTTGAATGATCAAGGAAATAGTACAAGTATGACCAAAACTTTATGAGTAATGTAGTAATCGTACCTGAAGGAATGTCTCGAGTTCATTTTCATTTTCAGTCTTCGGTTTGTTCATGAGACCAACGTTGCTGACAGTTTTCATCAGGGAACGTCGGAGAATGGCCTGCATCAACGAGTGGGGTGCCATTTCGATGGTGACCGCATTTGGTGGGATCTTCTGGAGTGCCTCATAGAAGAGGACCGGTGAGATGGCGTTATTCACATGGTAGTCGGCAGAGCTGAAAATTGGCGTTAACTCGACTCTACTGGGTGAATGGTATCTGGGAACTAAGCATCCGGGAGGACCCAGAAATTATCTGAGCGCTGTACTGCGTCATGGGCACTCACCAAGTGCTGGCCAATTCGCTCTCCCATTCCTCTTCGGGAATCGAGGTCGAAATCCAACGTGATGACCGAGGCTTCGGTTCTGGTACTGCTGTACGCATCGCTTCAAGCATAGGCTCTTTGACTCGAGCCATCATGGGCGAATGGAATGGAATACCAGACGAATCAACAGCCTGATAACAAGTTAATGGTAACACTTGGTAACACTTAATAGTAACAATTGTAAAGATACCAAGCCTACCTTGGCAAACACTCCCTTCTCCTTGAGCTGTTCACAGAATTCCAGTACTTTCTCACCATCTCCCGAGATAGTAACCGAGTCAGCACCGTTGTGACAAGCCGGGACAACTCCTGGCGGGCATTGTGCTCGGGCTTCTTCCCAAGTCAGACCAACTGCGGCCATACCACCCTGAGAAAACAATTGTGCTGTTGTTCCCACATGCCAACCTTCTCAATAATTCTTCAAAGAAGTGTTTTACCTTGATTTCCTTATGTTTCATCATGGTGGTTCCACGATGGTAAGCCAACCGCATTGTCTGTTCACGTGTGATACCGCCATCGGCGTAACCACAACCCATTTCACCGGTCGAATGACCAATGATACCATCGGGTGTTACTCCTATAATGGACAATTTTGTAGCTCAGGCAACTTCAATTACTCCAGAGTTGGGAAAGTAGGCAGTAAACTAACCAAGAGAGAAGAGAAGATCAGTGAGAGCAATCTGGATTGCTGTAATGGCAAGCATACAGTTAAGAGTATTGTTTTGATATTGAGCTGGATCCGGATTGCACAGCATTCCGTAGACGTCCAGACCGAATTCTTCCAACGTCTGGAAACAGAGAGAATCCCAGGGTGATTGCCAAGTAATAGATTAGAATAGACCTGACGATTAGCTTAGGCCAAAAGGTCCGGATGAGACGGGACTCAGAAGAAGTCAAACCGAATTGACAAAATCAGAATGATGATATTCTCCTTGAAGCACCTGGTGGCTGGAACTCACCTTGCTAGAAGCCCTGAGCGACTCATCAAACACTGGAATCTTCATGAGCTTCATACCCATACCGGGCCATTGTGAGCCCATACCGGAATAGATGAAGTAGATCGGACGTGGCTCAGTGATTGTTACCTGTATCGATTGATCATGAAAGAAAGTTACTTTTCAGAAAAGAGTTAAGCCATTCACCTTGACAACATCCTTCAATGGAGGCTGATCACCACCTCTATTGATGAGCATGTAACCCCTGTATGGGGTATCTTTAGCTGGGAGATTTGCCTGATTAGCAAGGAGGGCTTGGAGATAGCCATCGTTGACATTATTTTCAACGACGCTAAAGACATGATGAACAGCATCTTGTGTACGTCCACAGTAACTGAAATGGTAAACTTCAGGTTAATCCCATTTCGATCAATAAATTGATCATTATCGATTACTCACGTTAGGATTTTCGTAAATGGCAGCTCACTGAGCGGTGGTACCGTGTGATCGGCGGCCTTGAGGATCACGTGCGTGTTCGAACCTCCGAATCCGAACGAATTCACTCCGATAATACCTCCAGGTAACGGTGTCGGTTCGGTAACGACTTTTAGTCGGCCATCAGTAAGACCAGGGATATATTGATTAGGTGTATTGAAGTGAAGATTTGGTGGTATCATCTGGCGTTCAATAGCGACGAGTACCTAAAAGATGGGATTTTGGCAAAAACGGAGTGTTACCACCCAGGATTACTAGTACAAAAGACCCTACATACCTTAGCAATGGAACATAGACCCGAAGCGGGTTCAGCATGACCCATGTTCGATTTGACGGATCCGATTAGAAGTGGTTCTTTACGATTCGAGCAGAACACTTGGCATATAGCATTGGCTTCCTGTGGATCTCCAACTTTTGTTCCCGTTCCATGGGTTTCTACATAGTAGACAGTGTTTGGATCAACACCAGCCTCATTATAGACTTCTTCAAGAAGTTGAGCTTGGCGTTCTCCTGATGGGAATGTGATTCCCTGTTCCTTGTAACCTAAACGATGTTCTCTATACTAGTAGATCGAGTCCGACTCACTGAGCTGGATACAAACCAAAAGCTTACCATCAGTATTTGACTTGGCATGAACCACAGTAGCATAGATACGGTTCGCTTTCGATTTACGTTGAATGTAGATGGCAGCTACTCCTTCGGTACGACAGTAGCCATCACCAGAATCGTCAAAGGAACGGCAACTTCCCTTTTCCGTGAGCATTCCAAGACGAAGGAATTGTAAAGCAGCCGTTGGTGTCAGCGTCAAGTGAGCTCCAGCCACAATGGCTGCATCACATTGCTTCTGAAAAATCCGGCAACATCATGAGGGAACTGGTACGATTGTCAGTCAGCCGGAAACTTTACCTGACGAATAGCATCGACAGCTAGCTGAAGGGCTAGCAATGAGCTGGAGCAAGCCGTATCAACTGAGAACGATGGTCCCTGTAGATCGAATGTGTACGAGATACGATTCGAGAACATTGATCGAACGCATCCCGTTAACGTATAGCCGGTAACAGTTTCCGGATCCTGTGTCAGAGCTCCGGATGTTTCCGAAGCCGAACATCCGACGAATACTCCTGTTCGTGAACCTCTTAGATCCACCGGATTGATACCTTAAAATACGCGATAAAAATCGATATCAGGCTATCGGAAATCCTATAGGATATCGCTCTATTTCGCAATTTCTCATGATAACGGGATATTTGGCAAATTAGGCACGACCAGAGATCACCCCTGAAGATATAGAACAGCATTTAGCTTCAAGTAGTTCAAGGTTACGTGGTACAACAGGGCACACCGGCTATCCTATCGCGACACGGGTTCTGCGTCTCCGTGACTTCCCCGTTCTTCACCCCTGTCTCTAACCCTTCGACCACACCAGGAGCGACGGGTGGATGGTGGTCGGCTGCTGGACGCGGGAGGGGGACACGGTCGGGCGATGAAGGGACGGACGGGGAGGGGGGGGGCTATCGGCTGACTAGAAACTTGTACTCCGCGTGACCCATTCGCGTGATTCTCGATTTTCAGTTGTTCTGAACTCGTGGTCACTACGTAAATCAAAGTTCACGAATGTCTTATGGACGTACGGACGCGCAGCAGCGCAGAATCGCATTGGGTCGGGTCGGTGATGAGGGCGAACAAATTAGAGGTGCGAACGTGGACCTCTTTCAATGAATAAGCGAATCCAAGGCCAGTATAGGGTCCAGATCCCAAAAGATCAATATCACAAGGGATTACAAGTAATAACGCTTCGTTATCGTGACTTATCACTAAGTATTCTTCCTCACTATCTCAAGAAAAATGGCTGTAATGATGTTCACTTTCAGTGCGAACACCTTTCACGCACCATAAACACTTGAATAAATGTTACCAATTAGTAAAACAGGGTTTACGGACAGGGTAAGGTACTGTCTCTGACTACTTCAACTTCAGACAACAGGATCTCAATGAATGAAGGGAGTGAGCCATGAACACAACATGAATATTTGTAAAATTGATTTTGAACAAGAGAATCAGATTTCCATTGATATAAAAGAAGATATAAATGAATGATAAAGTTTAGTAAATCACATGAAATGCCTACCAGCATCAACCATCGCTTCCCAGGCTACTTCAAGTAGAATACGAACTTGAGGATCCATAAAGTTGGCCTGTTTAGGAGTCACAGAAAAGAATTGCGCATCGAACTTTTTGAGATCCTTGAGCTTACCATGTCGCTTTGGCAGATCGTAAAAGCCTGGAGAAGATTACATCTGATTACTTTCTATTATCTTTCAATCTATACTCGAGTAATTATTACTACCCTACGATAACAAAAGAGATGGATTGCTGTCAGAAATATTTATAGGAACATTTACAACACGCAGTAAACACACTGACTGACCAGGAGGCCACCTGAGATCGTCCTCCGTGACGAGATCTTCGCCTTGGAGCAAAAGATCCCCGAATTCATTGACGTTCTCGCATCTGTAGTATTATTATGATGTAGAAAATGAGACGGTAAAGGTGTAGACAACTATAACTCTAAGGTTATAGCAGTAACACTACAGTACACAAGTAAATAACTCAAGTAAATAACTAGTAACCTTGGAAAGCGTCCGGACACTCCGGAAATAACTATTTCTTCCTGCTCTTTCCACCATGGCTGGTCGTTCGAAGACATGCTTTCACCAGACTGGAACGAATCTCATGAGAGAACTAGAACGAACTCGTCCATCAGATTTCACTTTGCCCTTGTCCGTTCCCATTCTCGGTGCATCGGTGCCAATGTACAGATAATAAAAACCAGGTCTCGAATTAGAAAGTCGTCGTGGTCGTAAGGTGGAGAGCGTCAAATGTGGGACACACAGGCAAACGGGGACTCCAGTCAGCCAGCGCATGTGCGGAAACAAATCGAAGAGCATTGATTGAATCTATTGAGGTACAAGATGAGTCACAAATCATCAGGAAGAGGGAAATGAGGTGCAGCATACCAAAGTGTAACTCGTCGACATAGAGGTGGAGTAAAAGGAATGCAGCTAGCAGGGTGGGCAGGGGTGTCCGGGCAAATGCGCGAAACTCTTCGAGACCCCCCATTTCGGCTAGTGCTGCCTGCCTGCGCGTAAGGCGTAATAGCCTGCTGGACACATGTATACGCGACATATTGTGTTGAAATGGTTGGCAGGAGGGAGTAGGCCAGGCACATACACACACACCCACACCCACACAGGGGGAGACACATATAGGTGGGAGGGGATAAATAAGGAGGTAAGCGCAGGCAAGGAGGCCGAGCGATGCTGGTTGCTGGCGAAGTCATTGACCGTCAAAGGTCGCGATGCGATACATGATAGTGCGACCCGTCGTCAAGTGTAGGCGAACCAACGTGGTTCAAAAGGACAGCATCATAAGCGGTAACATTTCAGAGTATTAGGTAATAAGCGATGGTAGGTGATGGGATGTAGCCGTTGGCTAAAGTCTAGCGCAAGTAATATCCATAGAGCTATCCGGGAAGAAGGTACACGGTGAAGTGTTCGCACGCAGTCCGGGCGCTGATGGACCAAGTGGGGCGAATAGCAGCTAATCATTGGGATCGGAGGAAGGGAGGAGTAGGGAGGCTCGTTCTACAAGGAAGCCCTATATAAGGGCCGTATGTCAGCATGAACGGGGGCGAACGCGACTGCTGAGTTTCGCCGAAAATGCATCCAGCAAACAAAAAATATCTAGCTGTACATCTCGGGACGAGATTCACTACGCTACACCGTCGCGGAATGCGCTGCAACACGTCCCCCCGACGACAATGCGGAACTATGCCGCCGTCTTCTACATTCGTTGGTTGACCTCACAAACTATCGTAAATGAATTGTAAAGAATTTAAATGAAATGTTGTAAAACTGTTAATCATATTATAAAACTGCTAGTAGTAGATAGGGAATGAGTGAGTCATTCGGGGATAGTCCCACCTGCGAATTGTCCGAGACGCGTTCCCAACCAGCGGACATGTCGGAAGAATGCGCACTGCCCTTCTCCATAATGCTTATCGACACTTGATCGCAATCCCGTCGAGAACCGTCACTTCTGAAATAGAGCACCGTCACACAGTTTACCTGTCCTCTTCTCCCCCCACCACCTTTCTCGCACCATACAAAGTACACGTAAAACGAGAGCAACACACACACACACGAACCGATGAGATCTTTGGAAAGATAAAAGCCTGAAGAACAAGAAGAGGAACTATGTGCGGCATTGCCTGCTAAATGAGGAGGAACGCGAAAGATAGATGAGGACCATCGAGCAGTAGCGACTGTTCTGAGTAATAGGCATTAAAAGTAATTGTATCATAATAAAAAGGCATATTCTTTTAGAGAAATGAAGGGGGCAGTGGATGTATGTGTTACCGGGAGGAGTCACGGGCACCACACAGTAGCAGACTGAATTCCGCCGTTCGGCGAAGGAAAACGAGACAGTAAATCAGAAATCAGATCTCAACGTTTTCCTGCTCGTTCCTGTACATGCTTACAAGGACTGGTTTCGTGTTGCTGTCCTAAGCTGTCAACAAGGGACACCAGAGCGATGGAGTTGGATAAGTGCGATGGATTGTCAAAAAAGTTAAACCAAAGCAGATAAACGACGACGATGTCTGAGGGCGACAGAGAAAAGCGAACGATCTCAGCCCGTACAGGAACTTTTCAGGTAAAAGTGATGAAGAAGTCAACATGGACGGCATCTACAACAACGACAACAGCAAGTTCACAAGAAGTGAACAATCGATTAGGATGAACGACGATGACAGGGCGGACCGTGGGGTGTGCAGAGGATTACATGTCATGCCGGCTCGCCAAGGTCGGCCTGTCGACCTACGGTCCGCCCTCTACCCCCCCTAAACTCTTCTTACGCTATCCCCATGAAAAAGATCCTACCCCGATTGGATTGCCACCCACCCACACACACACAGGCGCGGAACATAACCGGGCAGCTCCCCGACCAGACTCATGGTGTCGAAAAAAATACGGCCGTCCACTATTTCCAATGTAAAAGGAACATACTGGAACGAATGGAAATCGAAAGTTAGCAAGAAAAGAACAGAAGAAGAACGAGGGGATAAAGATCTCGATAGGGGGGTGAAGGGGTAGAAAAGTGCGAGAAATAAACCGAACGAACCGCACTGATGCCCGATACCCTGGTCGATATCGATAGCGTGCAAATTGAGCTGCGCGATTCACATTAGATCAAAGAGAGAGCAAGACATTGGGGACACGGTAACGGTGCGACGATGATGACGAGAACGAAGCGAACGACACCCCGATGTGGTGATGATGGTGACACTACTTAGCTACATAGATGACAAACGATGACAACAAAAAAGCCATTCAGCGCAATTTCTTGTACGCAATAATGAAACGGTAGAAAAAAAAAACCATGGCGATGGTGGAACACAATGTGGCCCGCGTCGTGTGAACGTATCGAATAGGGCGGTAGATGTAGTCGAGATTATGAGCGATCGCGTTCACGAGGGTCTACGAGCGGAAAGGAAGCGAAATGAGGTATCGGGACTGGGAGAATAGGTCAAATGTGAATTGGAGGTCAACGGCGGCCGCGGCGGTGGCGGCGGCGGCGGTGGCCGGCCATGGCGTTTCGATGGTGGTGGTGGTGGTGGTGACGACGACGATGACGACCACGACGGCGACGACGACGACGGCTGCGGTGGGTATGTGGATGCGGCAGACGGCCGCATACGATGGCCAGCGCGGTGGCACTTAGATTGCGGTCCGAGACGACCTTGTAGCGCCATTGTAAACTCGACTTAGAATGTCTTCCCATTTCCGGAAAGCAGCCAAAAAGGACATACTACATAGGGGTAGCACGAGGAGCATCAAAGAGGCGCTTACCAGCTCGGTCACCATTGCCCGCCCCTACGGCACTACGACTAGCATCAACACGACGGACGATACACGACACACACACACACAGACGACGGCGACGACGACGACCACAAGTCACACTTCGACCCGTCATTGGGCAGCGGCGCACTAAGTGACGGCGATCACGACAATAACGTGCTTGGATAACGTTGAAGATGCTCATCAGACGTCACTGCAGCCAGTTACAGTTGAAAAACAATCAAGATATACATCTAAGACGTCCCACACACATCATACACATATACATACACTTCACAACTCGTTTTCTTTCACACATTTACGCCGTTCACTGTATTGGCCACTCAACCTTGTTGGAACTATTCACTCGTCTCTTTCGACGATCTTTCACCATTCTGGAGGTCAGCACCATAGCCCAACACGTTCACTACGCTCTTGGTTTCGTCATAAAAGTGTTGCTGGGGCGGACTTGAAAGCGAATCGGCCCCGAAACGTACGTTCCACTTACGCCCCCTCATTGACAAGTTCATTAATGAAACCCGGACGCTCTCGATCTGGTCTATGGCAGGACAGAAGAGCTTTCTGGATGCATAAACAAGTAAAAACTTCCATAATTGTAAATTTCGTCCGACAGAGGTACTACTGCAGAAGTGGGACCACCAGCTGAACCATCGAAGAAACTGTTCATTGAAAATGAAATCGGTATGAATTCAAAAAGATTTGTCGAAAGAGAATAAAGAAGGAAATGAAAGTGTCACCTAGAATAGGTCCAGAAATTGGCCAAAAGATTGGGGGCTAACTGGTAAAACTGCTGTTTGGCGAATCACAAACAAGTTATCAAGTTGCTGTCGAAACGCCCCAAACCCCCCTCCCTGAACCACCACCATCACCTGTAGCGGAACGGCACTGCTGCTGGCACAAACTGCATCTAATCAACACCTGCTTGTACAACGATAGATCATTGAACGTGTGTGATGGTTCGTATGCTTCATGAAAACTGACGGCATGTAAGCACCTAGGAGCGGAACAAACAGTGCTTGACCAAAGACACCCACACGAACAGAGACGGGTCGCTGCCCCCGTCAAAAACACCAATGCAAAGGGTTCACGACGTTAAAAGCATGTCCCGATACCGCGTGGGTGGGTGGATGAAGGGAATGGGAGTTTACAGTGGCCCGCCGGCTACTTGTAAATGCAATAAAAGAAACTGTAAAATCGGAAAGTGTAGACTATGCGGGAATAGATTTCAGACATGGGGGGCGAAAACCCCCGCGTTGGGAGTTTAAAGTAGGTCAGCGCTGAACTCGAGATTTTCCGGGTCACTTATGCAATCCAATGTTCAATCAATCCAGTTCGGTACAATATGAGGGCACATGTGGGAAATTAGGAATGTGTCTATAAGATTAGACTACAGTAACCTGACGTTGACAAGTTACTGGCATTGTAATAAAAATAGTCAAACACGTGTTACAAAAGACTGATCAAAATAAGAATCTGTTGGGACAGATAGCCAACAGCCAGCAGATCGTTGATGCCTTTGTGGTTAATGAAATCGAATGTACCGGTTTTTATGTCATGTGTGCAAAGACAATGGTAATCGAGAGTAAAAAATAGTATCCCATGGGTGGCTAGTATCCCCATGGGGGTAGGAGCAACAGAGCGAGACTGGCGATCAGTGAAATACACGGCGAGACCCAAATGTGACATCGAAAACTGGGATTCCCTTCGACCTACTAACCAGCATCGCGGGCGTAGCGCTCACATCATTTCCCGATGTAAAAAAAAGGACCATACAGTAGTCACCAGACATTTTGCCTAGGCTGCCACACATTGTATTCGCCCCCTTTGATGGGGTTTGTTCAATTGAACAAGTCCGTCCGTCCACCCACCCCCACTCTATTCAGTATATTGGCCTGCCTGCTCTGATTGCATCAAGTGCAAGTTCATGATGATGACTGATTACTGTAAGTAAGAATGGTGAGGAGGGACTGAAATGGAGACTATGCTGATATAAGAAGAACCAAACGATTAAATAGCGGCAACGTGGGTGGGCTGAAAAGGACGGGACGTTGGACGTGTGTTTATGAAGCCTATCATAGCATCTGATGGGTAGATATGATCTTGGATTCAGTCCCTCTGGATAGATGGCGCAACGGTAGTCCTTCATCGCTTTGTCAAGGCCGAAGGACGATGTGATGACGATCAGATGACCCTGTGAATGTGGCGAGAGATGATGCCAAAAATGGACGATCCGGTCGGTCTACGTCAGCCCACCATTTTGACATCATACGCCACCGACGTCGATAGTTGCTTAGGCTGAGTCACCTGTACCATCTTCTAAAAGCCACAGTCTCGATCACCATTTCGAGGAGT